CCAGACTGAGGGTGGGATGGGCTGGTGGAAAGGTTCTCACCTGTGACATCGGGCTCTTACCCAGCATGCAACGTGCACACCTCGGCCCTGGGGAAGGACTGAAGGCCTAGAGGAGGTTCCTCCTTGGTTTCATATCTGTCTTTGACTCACTATGAACTGGGCTTGACTCCCTGCCACCTTCAAAGTTCCTTCTGTTCCTTCTCTTCTATACCCCAGAAGACCGGCCCCCCCTTCCCCATTGTGTCCTGAGAAGGACGCTAGGTGGCACCAGCCCCCCACAGAATCCTGAGGTTAACGTGGCACTGTCGGGCAGTGCCCTCTGTTGGCCAGAGGTGAAATGTAAATGTCTGTATGCAAGACTGTGGGCTGAACAAAACACCACTGGCCTGGTACATGCAGTCATAGGCAACCACACTTACTTACTCGGACTCTGTTTCTGGGAATCGAACGCAAAGAAGGTATGTCATCAGGGTTCCAAACTACAGGAGAGAGACCCCTATAGATGCCAACAGGAGCCCTGGACTGACCTGGAAGCTCTAAAAACGTGTTTCTAGATGTTGAAGCAGGAGGAAGGGTCTGGCATTGATCTAAGGGTCTGAGAATCTGACAACTGTGGCTCTGCCTCCAAACAAAGCCAGACTAGCTATATGCACGGTGCAGGTCTGGGGAGGTGAACCCTGAGGGGCTATGTGAGCTGATAAGGGAATCTGGCAAGTGAGGGGAGAAGGAAGGGAGTTGAGCGTCTCCTCGTTGCTCACTCTGGTGTCTGGGGTCTCCTTGCAGCTCCTGCATCCACTGCCCTTTCTGTGAAGACCCCTCTCCAAATGTAGCTTGCACATGATTACCGTAGGGTCCTAATACCTCTACCAGCCCTCCCCAGGAAGGCTTCCTCTTACCCCTTTTAAATGCTCCAAAAACTCCATCCACCATGGACAAGACCTTCTATCTAGAACTCCTCGGCACAGCCAAAGGACCTCCACATCCCAGTGGCTGCTTCCAGAGCTTGGAACTGTGAGAGGCAGGTTATAGGATTTTGCTAAATGAATCCACAAAGGCAAGAACTTACCAGCAAACGAATTAGCCAGCTGCCTCCACTGGTACTCGGTTAGCTACTGCATGCTCACCCTCTCGAAGCCAATCTCATCCTAGTCTGTGGTAGAAGCACATCCACCCTACCCTGATCGTGACATGGTAGAAGCCCCACTTTGCTATAATTCCTGCACCCTCCTCCCACCAGACACAGTCTGAGGATGGCAGAACCCAGGTCTGAGCTAATGTCCCAAGCGAGGCAGCTGAAAGGAGGTGTTACCCCTGAAGCCCATGCAGCAGCCTCTGCCCACCATCTACCCTTTGAAGAAATCACAAATGGGACAAATGTCATCTGGGAACCAGATACAAACAATTAGTTTACTCTGGAATGTGATACCCTCAGAGGATCCAGCGGGATCTGACCAATGGTGAGAAATGCGTCACTTCAGAGGGCTTCAAGGAACGGAGAAGTCATATAATCGGGGCTCCAGGAAAAGGGAACTTTCCTCAAAAGGCAAATACTGCCCAGCTGGCTGTGGATAAAGTCCTAAAGTGCCAATTTTACACCCACATGGGCATAGTTCGCATGAAGACAGAAACAACCTATCTTCCATCAACAGGAAGATGAACAGATGAGTGAAGAGGGACCCATCCCTCCAAGCCCAGCTAATAGGAGGCTGAGGTAGGTTGACTGAGCCCCATAGTCAAGAGACAACACAGCCAAGACTCTGTTTCTTGGTTTTCTATTGCTGTGACGAGACACCATGACCACAGCAGCTCTTATAAAGGAAAACATTTAACTGGGAATGGCTTACAGTTCAGAGGTTCAAGTCCATTGTCAACATGGCAGCATGCAGGCAGGCACGGTGTTGGAGAGGAGCTGGGAGTTCTGCATCGGGATCTGTAGGCAGAAGGAGGAGAGAGGGAGTCAGTGGGCTTGAGCTTCTGAAAACTCTAAGCCGACCCCCAATGACACACTTCCTTCAACAAGGCCACGCCTCCAGTAATGGGACTATGGAAGCCATTTTCACTCAGATCACTACACTCACCCAATGAATATTCGAAGCTGGCTTTCCTTCCAACCCTGTGATACTGAAATTGATCGGACTTAGGTACTCTCACATATGAAGTAAGAGCTTCAGTACTAAACTCCATCCTAAATCCAGACAATGGAGTTATCCAGCCTTGGGAAGGAAGGCAACTTTTTTCTGTTGTTGTTGTTTTTAAAACAGGGTTTCTCTGTGTAGGCCTGGCTGTCCTGGAACTCACTCTGTAGGCCAGAAATCCACTTGCCCTTACCTCCAAGTGCTGGGATTAAAAGTGTGCATCACCACCACCACCTGGCTAAGGTAGGAAATGTTGATGCCTGCCTCAACGTAGATGAATCCTGAGGACATCATGCCGAAGAAACAATTTCTTCACCAAGGTACAAAGTAGTCAAATTCATCACCAGAAAAAAAAAAATAGAGTGATGGGTGCTAGGAGCTAAGGGTAGGGAAGGGCATTGACATTTGACAAGGGCAGTTTGCTTTGCAAGTTAACAAAGTTTTTAGATGCCTGTGCGATGATTGTGAAATACAGCCGGCTTAATACCACCCCGCTACACGTTTTAAAATGCAAGATAATAAACTTTACCGTAAACAGGAGGAGGAAGAGACTGACTTGAGTCAGGGAATACCCCCACCTCCCAGCCCTCACCCCAGCCCTCACCCCCACCTGTAGGATGGGGCTATCTTAGGGTTTTCATTGCTATGGTAAGATATCATGACCTAAAGCAAATTCAGGAAGAAAGGGTTATTTCAGGCCACACATCAACACTGAGGGAAATTGGGGCAGGACCTCAAGGCAGAAACCTGGAGGCAGGAATTGAAGCTCATGCCTAGCTTTCTTAAACAACTCAGAATAACTTGCCCAGGGACAGCATCACCCACAATGGGCCCAGGGGCCCTCCCACATCGTCACTAATGAAAAAAAAAAAAAAAAAAAAAAAGGTCCCACAGGGTCCATCCAGATCGCCTATGGGCATTTTCTCAATTGAGGTTTCTTCTTCCCAAATGATTCTCACAAGGGCCTTCTAGGGTAGGATCCCCAGCCTCAGGAACTCAACTATGGAGGCTTCTGGAAGTACAGCCTGAGGTTCTTAGGAAGCTCCTGCTGATTGAATGATCAGGCCCCATCCTACAGGGCTAGGCTCATTGGTTGAGAGTATGCTCTTTCTTGCTGGGTGGTAGTGGTGCACCCCTTTAATCCCAGCATGCAGCAAGCAGAGACAGGCATATCTCTGTGAGTTCAAGGCCAGCCTGGTCTATAAAGCAAGTTCCAGGACAGCCAGGGCTACACAGAGAAACCCTGTCTTGAAAAAGAAACAAACAAGTTCTTTCAGAAGGTACAAGTTTGGTTCTTCCACACTGCACAGCTTATAACTGCCTATAATGCCAACTCTCTCCAGGAGATCTGATGTCATCTTCTGGCCTCTCTGGGGGATCTGATGTCATCTTCTGGCCTCTGTGGGTACTCCCACACATGTGGCATACATTCATGCATACAATAAAAGCTTATTTTTTAATCAAAATTGGGAGACCATGGGGAAATTCTATGTTGCTACATCACTTTAAGGCACATCTGGTGGTCTGGTTAAGGGTATCTTGCTCTGGAACTCTGTGCACCCCACTGACAGAAGCTGTTTAGCCAGTAAGTACTTCTGGCTACTAAGTAAAACAATCTGGGCCTTACATCCGTATCAGTGCTCCTGGCCCACAGATGTCTCTGCCCTGAGGAGCTCCTCTGACAGGCTGGTACCTTACTGCTTTCCATGTGAGTAAATCATAAAACATCCTCAACACTTGTTCATTCTTTTTTAAAAAATATAATTGTGTGAGTGTGTGTGCGTGCGCTCGTACGCTTACCCACACTAGTGCGTGTGGAGGCTAGAGGTGGGCACTGGACATTTTCTTCTATAGTGCTCTGTTTTGTGAGATAATGTCTCTCATTATACCTGGAGCTCACCATTTAAGCTAGACCGGCTGGTCATTGATCCCCAGGATTTGTTGGGATTACATGTGCACACCACAGTACCTGGCTTTTGTATGTGGGTTCTGGAAATCCAAACTCAGGCCCTCATACAAGCATTTTACCCACTGAGCCTTCTACCTGGCCTCCATATGTTCATTTTTAGAAATACAAAGGAATTACATAATGCTCTCCTCCAGGCATGGGGTGGCCATTTTTAAATGAGAGCAGCTGCTTACTGGCTACTGGCATGAGACTCTCACAAGACAGAGTCCATTAGCATGCCCTCACAGAGGAGAGAGAGAGAGAGAGAGATCATGCAGCAGTTTAGCCACTCAAGGCCCCTCTCCTGATGGTTGCTGGGTGAGGAAGACTTTCTTGACGGTATAGCTGTCTGCAATTTGCCCATGTTCTTGTAAATATCTCCAAACAAACTCATAGGCAAACTGGGCATTGTGGCACAAGGCTTTGACTCCAGCACTTGAGAGGCAGAGGCAGGAGGGTCTCTGTGAGTTCTAGGCTAGCCTGGTCTATATAGTGAGTTTCCAGGACAGTCAGAGCTACACAGTGAGACTCTGTCTCAAAACAAAACAAAACAAAAAACCTCATTGGCTTATCCAGTTAGACTTGGAAGGAACCATTTTTCCTTTGCTTGTGTTTTGTTTTGAGACAGGGTCTCTCTACACAGCCCTGGCTGTGCTGAAACTCTCTGTGTAGACCAAGCTGACCTCCAACTCATAGAGAGATTTGCCTCCCTCCCAAGTGCTAGAATTAATGGTGTGTATCACTGTGCCTGTCAATGTAGAACTCTCTCTCTCTCTCTCTCTGTGTGTGTGTGTGTGTGTGTGTGTGTGTATGTGTGTGTGTGTGATGATTGGTGATCTAACTAGGGGTGAAAAGGAGTTTGTTTGTCACCCCGGTAAAAGTTAAAGCGACAAAGGGTATTGAATAAAATAACAATCTTCTTTTAAATAGTTTAATAGTTTTCACTTAAATAAGGTCTTGGTGAGACTCACCATATCTATAAAGATAATCTCTAACTGGCATCGTGGAGAATTCATTATCAGTTCATAAAACCACAGCTCCACAAGGTATAAAAGGGGAGGTAGAAAAACAAGGCCAGAAAGCAGAGGTTTCCAGGCAGAGGCGCCTATCCACCCAGGACTCATCAGTAGTGCTGAGGGATCCACAGGAAGAGAACCAGGGGCTGTGGAGGGTCTGCAGAGGCAGGCAATTGGTCCAGCTAGAGTGCCAGCCTGACTTCTGGGGGGAAGCAGAAAGCACAGCTTCTCTAGCACTGTGGTTGACATGGTTGACATGGGTTTTCACTACAGGAGAGATGGAGGTTGGAAGATGCCTGGAGCTGGCGGGTGTCAGAGCTGCTCCTGAACATCTTCCAGCACACAAGACATCTTCAACACAGAGAAACCTCATCGTAGAAACAACCCACATGGACTGGAGAGACCCCTATTGGTGATGCAGGTTCCATAATAGCAGGCAGCAGTCCCGCTGAGTTTGGCTGAGTCTGAGGAGGGCTGGATGATCCTGACCAGCAGATGGGACAATGAAGTTCAGAGAGGCCATGACCATACATACTCCTGACATGGGTCTGTGTGGGTTCGGGTGTCTGTCTCCACCTATGTCTCCAACTCGTGGGGATAACCCAGGAGACCATGCTCACACATCTGAGGTGCAGATTCAGGGTTTCACCAACACAGCTATTGTCCTTAGGCTGCTGACATCAGGGTCCTGGGTGGGACTGGATAGGTAGACTGCTAGAGGTCCTCATGAACAGGGGCCAGGTCCACCCTCTGGGCCTGCCCAAACACCAGAAAGGTGCCCAGTCCCAGGTTGCTGATGATGGCCACCAGGTTGAAAAGACACGTCCAGGAGCCAGTGGCCTCAATCAGGTAGCCACCCAGACACACGCCTATCACACCTGGACAAGAGAGGCAGAGACTGACTGATGCTGCATGGAAGCTGGCCCCACACATCTGTGGGCTTCAGGGGCAGAGCAGGACAAAGCACATGCCCTGAATACCCTGGGATAAATTTCAAAATCTGAGCTGTGTGCCACACCGGAGTCTCGGAGGACTCACAGGCCATTCCCAATCACATATTGACAGCATCCGCACACCACGTCACACCCAAGGGAAACAAAGCAGGGGGTAGAGTTAGCCCCTGTCAGCCCAGCTGCTGGGTGGAGGGACCAAGAGGTACCCTAAACTACAGGACTAACTAACACCTGGGGTCAGTCAGGGGAAAGTGACCTGTGAGTCCCCCACCATCAGCCAAGTCACGAGACACTTCGGCTGGCGCGTCTGCGATCCTCCTGGGCCATTTTGGGGCTTGTGCTCTACCATTGACCTTGGGACTCCACTCAGCACTGGATGAGGAAAACTGGGTGAACCCCATTTAAGCTCCACCCTAAGATCATTCCCTAATTGATCCTAACCAAAGGATCTGGGCCTGGAGCCACCCCCTTACCTGCCAAGGCCCCTGCAGTGTTGGCCACACCTGTGAACAGAAAATCGAGGAGACAGACAACATGAGAAGACCCCCTGCTGTTCCTACCGCCCAACCACCCCAGGGTAGCCCCCTGGCAAGGGTAGGGAATGAAGCAGGGTTATATAAGCTCACCAAACAGGAAACCAGCACAGGATGGGGCCAGGTCCTGAATATTGACTGAAATACCACTGTGGGAAACAGGAAGGCAGGCAGGCATGTGAGTGACCACAGGCTTGGCCACCTCCACTTGGCCTGAAGGGGCCACTAGAGCATAAGAGAGGGTTATAAGTCACCAAAAGACACCCAGACCGGCGGCAGAGACACCCAGACCTGCGGCTGCCCCTACCTGCCAGGGGCTGCTAGGCCTGCTGGCACCATCTACCCCGCACCCCAGCTCTCCCACTCTCTTGCTGCTCCTGAGGACGAACACAAGGCCAGAAGAGCACACTTGCCGCACACACGCAGGCTTGCTGTTCACTTGAAACAGCTTTGAACTGGGTTCTTAACGGGCCTGAGATTCTTGAGATCGCAGTTGCAAAAAGAAGGGAACAGGATGCAGAGGGACATCCAGCCTGGTGTGTATGGTCACTCCTGCTCCTGGGCCCTCCTCCCAGTATGGGGGGTTGTTCTTGTTATTTTCTTGAATGACCCTGACTCAGTACCCAGATCCACTCACTGAGACAGCTGGTGGTGAGCTTTCCCTAACTCCACCTTCATAAACACCTGAACCAGAATGCACTAACGCCTCGCAGCCCCGAGGGATGGAAGCCGCACACTCTTACCTGTGGTTAAAGGTCTGGAAGCCAATGGAAGCTGATGCAAAGATCATAGCCTTGAGGAAGCTTGTGGTATGACCCAGACACAGGGCAAAAACGCTTGACAGACCAAGGCCCATCACCTGCAGGACAGGACTGGTGAGGGGGCTAAAAGCCATGCTGGCCAATATGGCTCATCCTATCTCAGCTCCACCCCTAGTGTTCTGAGCAAGATCAGGATGGTTCTAGGCTGGGGCTTCCCTGTACTCTACGTGCCTGGGCCCAAAGCAGGGCAGAGAGCATGTTCAGAACTCAGAGAAGGTTCTCAGGTCACCCAGAGCATCTTCTGGGGTCCACCTACAGCAGCCCCTTTCTGGGTCCTAGTGATGTGAATTAACCTCTGATGGTTTGATATTCCATAGGCTTCCTTCTGAATCCCAACCAACCCTGCCAATACCTAAGATCAGGTGTTGCTTCTGGAGCCATGAAACCAATGGTACAGTTTTCCCCAGCCCTAATCTTTGATCTCAGTCTGGTTCCAGAAATCAGAGGATTTGAGTATACAACCCTCAGGTCCCAGGAGTCCAGAACAAAGTAGGGATGTCCACAGAAGGGTGTGGTAGTTTGAATAAGAATGATCCCCACATTCTTGGCCTCTAGATGGCAGAGCTGTTTGAAAAGGATTGGATGTGGCTTTGTTGGAGGAGGTGTGTCACTAGGGGTGGGCTTTGAGGTTTCAAAGGACCACACCATTCTCTGCTTTGTGGTTGTGTCTCAAAATGTGAGTTCTCAGCTACAGCCCCAGGGCCATGCCTGCCTGTGCTGCCATGCTCCCCACCATGATGGTCATGGACTCCAACCCTCTGAAACTGTGCAGCCATGGTCCAACCCTCTGAAACTGTGCAGTCATGCTACCTGCCATGATGGTCATGGACTCCAACCCTCTGAAACTGTGTTGCCATGCTCACCATGATAGCCATGGACTCCAACCCTCTGAAACTGGAAGCTCTAAGTTGCTTTGGTCACAGTGCCTTATCTCAGCGATAGAAAAATAGGACAAAGGATTCAAACGATTTCCCTACCTGCATGAACTTACGCACTGTGATGACTCTGTAACCTGAACAGGGAGACAGACTCACGATGAGTTTCCATCAGCTTGTCTGGGTGACCCTTAAAGATGTCCTCAATGGGGTCCCGCCCAAAGTCACAGAAGAGGGACGGAGATGACCAAGGCAACAACTCAGGGCTCAAGACGGGAGAGTCCCTATCATGGACTAAACCCTCCCATGCACAGTATGTGTGTCAAAGGGTTTCCCGTGGTGCAGTTTGGGTAGAAATATGGAAGGGTAGCCCCATGGGCCATTACAAAAATGTAAGCTACCAGGCAAGCTTAGCTCAGTTTCTCTGAGTTTCTTCAAATTATCTGGTCTTACCACAATGAATATGTGCTACTTTCTATTGAGGAAAAACCTGTATCCTGAACATGAGCACACATGTACATGTGTCCTCTACACCCGAGTCTGTAAGACCATTGCCCCCTGGGGCTGCAGTATGGCCCCCGGAGCTCTGGAAGATTCAATAGTAAATCTGGGTACCTGTGACATTTGATGCCTTCCTTTCCGTGTGAAGGGTCCAGGATAGTGTTCACTAGGGTCCCCTTGCTGCCCCCAACCCTACCCATTAAAGGGGAGGCCCAAGAAGATACAATGGGCTCTTCGGCACAGCCTGCACCCATTCCTTGAGCAGACTCTAAAGGACGGTCTGTCTGTCACAGGGTGGTGGTGTGTGTCTTTCCCCTGCATGCAGCTGTACTACAGAGGGGACTGAGACCCCCTCAGGCTGTGGTTTACCCAGGACAGTTTTCCCCAACACTCACCCTGACTGATGAGGCGATCAGAGAGGAAGCCACTGAATAGACTGGCGGGAATTGCCAGAAGCCAGGGCACTACATTGAAGACCCAGCCCTGTGGGGAGAGGTACAGCCTCAAGGGTGGCCAGGGTGGCACCTAGCCTCTGGATGACACTAGGCAAGAGGACCACCCCTCGTTCACCATGTCAGTTGAACTATGTCCACCAACATTCGGGCAGGGCCTAAGAGCAGAGGGTCCTGGAAGGATAGGCCTTAACCAGCCCATTACCAGCCCCTCGGGTAAGTATTGAGCCCACTAATGGCTAACTCCTGAAGCCAATTCCCCACATGCTCCCTTTATTGTGACAAGGCTAGCGTTAAACCAGTCTGCCTGGGAATGCACAGCTCTCTCTTGGATGTGGCATCAGCAGCTGAGCTAGCCAGTCCTGAAAGGGGGGGCCTCTTGGGCAGCAGGTAAAAGTCTTGGGCTGAGGTAACTGTAGCTATTATAGTGTGTAGCTCTCATAGCCTTGAACTAACGTCTACTCCCCAGCAGACTGTCATCTCGAGGCCTGAAGCCCATATGGTGATGGAGTTGCCAAGCAAAAGGTGTCCACCCTTACACAAGGGCCTTTACAGCCCATGCTTAGCCCTCTTTATCCTGTGAGGGCCCAGGCAGCATTACTTACCTTGGAGTGGGGGAAGGTCTCCTTGAAGAAGGTGGGCAGCCAGGAGAGTAGAATGAAGAAGGAACAAGCCGAAGACAGTTGAGAGAAGACAGCTGCCCTGTGAGGGCATCAGACTCAGGGTTCTACCCAGCTGCCCCCTGACACTGACTCCATGTGGGACCCAGTCCTTCCCCCAGGACACCAAGGTCCGACCCTCTGAAACATGGGCATTTGCAGGCGTGTCAAGCCTGGGTCCTGCCAAGCACAGCTAGCTCCATGCCCTGCCCTCACCCACACTCTGCCTGGCCATGCCAACCCTTGCTCACCAGACAGAGGGCTTCCGGAAGAGTTGTCTCCAGTGTACTTTGGAGGGCCTGGCCATAGGCAGGCCTTGTACCAGGACATCCAAGGCCAGAACAAGGTCTAGGGGAACAAATTATTTCACAGTGATAGCTCTCAGGACCAGGTACCCCATGACTGTCCCTAACACAGCAGAGGAGTCAGGGCGCATCTTTTTCTCCCTTCTAAGGAGTGGCTATCAGGTACCCATAATAGTACAGTTCTATGTCTAACCTGGGCCTGTGCCTGGAGTCCCTCCGAGGCCTTGCTACCTGAAGACTTCACCTGCTAGATCCCCTATATCATCAGCCCTAGCCTCGATGGAACAATATGATGAAAATCCAGGGCTGGGGCAGGCTAAGGGATTGATCGGCACTTGGGTTTTGAGAGCTGGTAGCTCTGTAGACCATGCTGGCCTCAAACTCAGAGATATACTGCTTCAGCCTCCCAAGTGCTGGGATCGCAGACACGTACCACCACCACCCACTTGCCCGTGCTTTTTTGTGATACTGCCCCGGCCACAGGTGGCTTGGGAGATTAGGTAAGAAGGGGACTCCATCAATGCTGGGGTGAGACCAAGCTAGACTTGAGTGGAACTGTTTCTTTGATCTGCTGGTGGTGCCCTATCTGGGGTGAGTATATGTTTATTCGGTTTTCCCAGAAAAAGTTCACGCAATGGCTGTCTCGCATTGCTGCAAGAGAAAGAGGCAAAGGGACCAGCCCGCATGGCTGCGGTTACCTTTCTCATCCAGCAGGAACCTGTACACATAGTACACCCAGAGCATGGTGAGCCCACCGGAGAAGTAGAAGACACTCTGCCAGCCACACCAGTCCAGGAGCACCGAGCCTACGCCCCCAATCACCAGGGTCCTGGGAGACACAGAGGAGTGCTGCATTGACCGTGGTGGCTATCCACAAATGCCTCAAGCGCCCAGGGACAGAAGCTGCTCAGAGGCCTGCCTGCCTCGCCTACTGTGCTTTTCAGGGAGATGGGGTGGGGCAGTCGGGGCAAGGGGGAGTTGGCAGCAGCTAAGGAGACGCAGCATGGGGGCTACGGCCACTGCGGGATTTTAACTTCTTTCTTCTAGACCTTCAAACTGGCACGCAATTTGTCATGTGAATGCTTGGGAGAAAAAAGGTAACGATGAAAGGATAGCTTAGAAAAACGCTAACATGAAAATACTCTTTTCTTTTTTTTCTCCTCATATATTATAGAGGGTAACATTCCAGAAAAAACTTCTAAGTGCAAAACACACGCAGCCAACACCGAGCTCCACAACCTTCCTCTTCCTTTTGACTCCAGAGTACTATGGTCCCAGATGCAATAAAGGATGCCTCTGCCTCACCCTTCAACCCCACCCATCACCCTGTGCACTCAGCCAAGAAAGAGAGAGAGAACACTGGGCTCTGGTGTGAGGCTGAGCTGCCTTTCATCTCCCTGTGCTCTCATCTGTGTCCTAGGCACAGAGCCTGGGGCAGTACCCTACCCTTAGCTGGGGCGGTGCCCTACCCTTAGCTGGGGCGGTACTTTCTCTCCCATCCCTCCTGGCCATGCACAGGACCCCGTCTGCTGTGCAGGATATCAGAACTGAGGTTGAAGATATATACGAGACCCCTCTGTAGCATTTGAGCCTTACTGTTTCTTTGACATTCACACTTCTCGACGTGAATAAATGTGCTTTTAGTGTTAAATCAGGCCACCCAGATCAACAGAGTTGGCCCTTCACATGGGGCTCCACTTTCTCATCCCCCCCCCATCCTGAACTCAGCAATAGTAGACCCAGGCCTGGATGATGCAGGAAGTCCCCATTAACATCCCAGAAGCCCACCTAACACACCAGTTAGTGGCCCTTCCTCCATGCATAGGGATTTCTCACAGAGGGTGGGGCAGCCTCTGGCTCCCCTCTGGTAAAGCTCCCCAATCCACATGGCAGTGTCCCAGCTTACAGCACAGGTAAAGGCAGAGACGTGCTGGGGTGGTTAACCTTTATTGCTAACTTAACAAGATTTAGAATCACCACAGAAACACACCTCTGGGTGTGCCTATAAAGGTATTTCCAGAAAGGTTAAGCTGTGGAGAGGGAGGAAGAACTATCCTGAGTGTTGGCAGCCATGGGGGGCTGGAGTTCTGGGCTGAATAAAAAGAAGAAGGTGAGCAGGTGTGGTGGGAGTCATCTTTAATTCCAGCACTCAGGAGGCAGAGGCAAGGAGACCCTCTGGGAGTTTCCAGGCCAGGCAGGGCATACAGTGAGACTTTGTCTCAAAACAAAGAAACAAAACAAAGGCAAAACAACCCCCCCCAAGCGTGACAGTGATACAATGTGTCCAGCAGCCTCATATTCCGGCTCTCAGGGTTTCCCTGCATGATAGACTGTACCCTCAAGCTGAGAGCTAAAGTAAGTCCTGTCTTCCTAATCTGCTTCTTGTCATGTTTTGTCACAGAAACAAATGCAGCACTCCTCACAGACCTGCGGAACCGTTGGACTAGCACTAGCCAACAGAGTCCTCAGGCACAGCTACTCTGACTTGGAGGATGGTGAAAGCTTCCCGAATCCCTGGGAGGTGGGGTCTTACCCGAACTGGGAGCCAGCGCCCACAGTGCTGTAGGTAAGGGCCCTTTCATTCTCCTGCACTCTCTGTGACAGCAGACTGGTCAGGGCTGGGAAGTAAACACCTGAAACAGCAGAGAATGCTGTCACTGGGTGCCCAGAGCGAGCCAGTGAGCGCAGGACGCCGCTTGGAGAATGTCCACGGCTCCTTTCCATTACCTCACTGGGCTGTAAGGGACTGGCAGGGCTGGGCTTTTGGCGACATTTAGGTAAGGAACCAAATTAATTCAGGGTGAGAGCTCCGCGGAGACACCTAACAGCCGTCCCCCTGTGTGCACACGCAGACTACACAGCAGATCCTCGGTGTGCTCTGGCACCCTCAAACATTTCCATATGTGTGCCAGGTACACACATGCACCCTTTCAGGAAAGTACCTCTACCTACTATTCTTACAGATAGTTCCCTCCTTAGTTAGTAGGCAGCTTAAAAGCTTGGAAATAACAGGGAACACAACTCTAATCCCAGCACTTGGGTGGCAGAGGCAGGTGGATCTCTATGAGTTTGAGGCCAGTTTGGCCTACAGAGTGAGTTCCAGGACAGCCAGAGCTACACATGGTGAGACCCTGTCTCAAATAAAAACAAAAACAAAACAAGAAAACAAAACACTTGAGTATTCTCTCCATTCTAGAAGGTTCTAAACTCCAGTCTAGAGAGGCTACTCGATAGGTTCCTTTGCAGGGTGTGGCAATAGGAACTCAGGCTTCCCTTTTGTTAATTACTCACAATGGGGAGGCAGAAAGCATCAGCTGCTTCCCCTTTGGAACTTTGTATCACCAGGTCAGTAAATGCAGCTCCTCAGAGGGCAGTCCTTGCCCCTTTGAGAGCGTGGGATCTGGGACCACCCCAGAGGCCAGAGACCCACCCCCCTGTGAAGGAAAGCCACAGGGTTGGGGAACTCCATCACATCTCTCAGCCCACAGATAACAAAGATATGGCAATACAACCATCCCCCCATCCCTGCCCTGAGTGAGCAGTCACAGGTTGTCATCCAGATAAATATCTTGGTTATACAAAGTAGACTTTGGAGCAAAGGGTAGCACACAGGCACACCGTGCACACGGTGGTCTGTCCACCCCTTTCCCGGCAAGGCTGAATGGCAACATCAGAGGGAGGAAGCTAGACATGGCCCTTACCTTGGAGCAGACCCATAAGGATTCGAGAGAATGTCATGAAGGCCAGGTGGCCACTGCCAAGGTGGGCAAACAGTGGCGTGACGACAGTAATGAGGCCCCAGGTGGAGGCTGACAGCAAGATGACCTTCTCACCTCCAATGCTGGAGGAAACACGGGGCAGCATGAAGTACTTGTTGAGAGGGCTGAGGGGCACAATCACTAACCACTGTACAGAGCCTGTGGTAGGCACTGCAGCCACCTGCCCTATAGAGGAGGGGCCCAGAGCTGAGTGCAGGGCATGGGACCGAGTCTGGCCTGTCTGTCATGTTTCTTGCCTGCTGCCTTAGAGCTGCCACACTGGACCTCCTCTCCCCCCCCCCCTCCATCCCTCCTCTCCTGTGTGCAAGGGCAGGACTGACCATACAGTCTCTCTGAGGCACCTAGATGATGCCCCCCCACCTTCGGGCCTGAGCAGTGGGGAAAGGGGGTTGGTTACCGATCCCCGAGGTGGCCGCCCACCACCTGAGTCAGGCAGTAGCCCCAGAAGAAGCTGCTGAGCACGATACCAGCCTCCTTCTTGTTCCAGCCGAAGTCCTGGCTCATGGCAACAGTACAGACGGGCATAGTGACTCGAGCGCAGTACAGTAGGCAGGTGCCCAGGAGCAGCATCCCTGTCCATGCCTGGCACTCAGGCCTGTGAGACAGACAGCAGTCAGGACCTAGCAGTCAGGACCTGGGGAGAGCCCCTTCACGGCCTTCATCATCACTCAGATAAGGCCAAACTGAACCCAGGGGCTGGGAACAGCACAAGAGCCCTCAGGACAGGGCACGTAAATACATGACAGTACACTCACAAGGCTCAGAGCCTGGGTCCAAGGCTGCCAGGACTGCAGCAAGATCTCAAGTTGGGGACCAGACACCAGTACTGCCCATATTCTCAAGCCTCCTGTTGACTATGAGGATGCAGAAAGGGAGCCAGAACTAGCAAACAGCTAACAACCTGCAGGGCAGTGTGCTAAGCAGGGTAGCCCAAAGGAGGCAAGGTTCAGGCGGAGCAGAAGGCTCCCAGGGAGGAGTACAGTCAGCCCAGAATGGGGGTGCAGTCAGGAGAGGATACAGAACTGGGGCAGTGTGGGGGATTTGCCCTGGAGGGATTTGGGCAGGGCAAGGTTGCCGGGCAGCTAGATCCCACCCTCAGCGCAGCAGCACAACTGGACTGGGAGCTCTCACTCTGGACAGTGGGGAGGCAAAGAGCCTCAGAGGGGGAATAGACCCTGGCTAGGCTTCCAACTAAGAAAGGGTCAATTATGGGGGCCAGGTTCATGCTTCCTGAGATGAGCTTTGAAGATAATTAACTTCCTGGTGTATTTATTCATGGTCACATGGTAGACTAGTAAGCTTAGCTGGAGGGAAGGGTAGCAGGCAAAGTGAGCTCTCTCTCTCTCTCTGCCCCCCGGTCCCAAATCTTACTGTGCAGACTAGCTTAAAATGATGGATCAGACGCAAAGCAACCCCCACCCCACCCCACCCCGCTTCAGCCTTCTGGGTGCTGGGCCTACAGGTATAAGTTACTAACTAGCCTGCTGCTGCTTCTCTTTTTTAAGACAGGGTCTCTTTATTTTGTCCCGGAGCTCCTTGTGTAGACCAGCATGCTAGCTGCTTCCTCCTTCTCCTTCTTTTTTTTTTTTTTTTTTTTTTTTTTTTTTGAGACAGAGTTTCTCTGTGAAACAGGCTCGGCTGTCCCGGAACTCTCTCAAGACCAGGCTGGCCTCGAACTCACAGAGATCTGTCTGCCTCCCGAGTGCTGGGATTAAAGGCATGCGCGGCCACTGCCTGGTGCTAGATTCTTCAACATTCAAGTTTTGGATTAACATCCACCCAGAGAACTCTGCTGACAGCAGAGATCTGACAACAAAACAGGAAATCTAGTGAGCCCAGCCTCATTTGTCCCGGCTCTTTGCTCTTAGTGAATTTGGATATCAGCAATTTTAGGAGAGATGGTGATGATAGGCATGCAGGTCTGGGTACCTCTAGTGAGTTTGACCACACATGCATAGACCTAAGGTCCACATTATTTTCCTCACCTCAGTCTGTGAAGACCCCGGCTCTCTACTGGGGAGAGAGATCTGATCCCCCCCCCCCCCCCCCCCCCCGCCCTAGCGATGGGAATCAAACCTAAGGTCTCACGCTTGCTAGGCAAGTACTCAATCACTGAGCCATGTCTTTAGCGGGAGGTGTATTTGAAACCTGCTCTTCTGACTCTGTATGTGGTCGCCTGGCAAGCAGATTTTCTTTCGCTTTTGGTTCTTGGTTTTTTCAAGACAGGGTTTCTCTATGAAACAGTCCTGGCCGTCCTGGAACTCACTCTGTAGAACAGGCTGGCCTCAAACTCATACCTCCTGAGTGGTGAGACCGAAGGCATGCGCCACCACCGCCAGGCTCAGATTGTCTTTTGTAAGAGCACATTGTTTGAGTGACATTGTGTATGGTAGGCAAATCTGGCCTGATTCTGCCACAATAGGACAGAGAAGAATGGCCTTTGGCCCAGGAGGTTCTCTTAAAGACAAACATGGATATTCCACACAGCGCTGTCCAGTCAGTCATCAGCCCCTAGAATGTCTACATTGACTCACAGATGGTGATGGGCATACCATCCATTTAGGACAGCGATGGGGAATGTGAGTTGGGATGTTTGGGGATTCTGCATGACTGTGCAGAATCCTCATGATGATTCTAGAAGAAATCGGCACTTCAGTTGAGCTCTGGGGAAGTGAGTACTCAATACAGGAGAAGAAGGGAGGGCATCCTTCCTGAGAGGGGCAGGCAGGAGGGTGGCACTACTGAACACAATCTTTTGGAGGTGGGCTGGAGTCTTGAGGCAGGTGGACACTGGCCACCACCCAACACAGGCACAGACAGAGCAGGGAAGAGACAAACTCGCAGACATCCAGCTAGAGTACCAGGCTTGGGGGACTCAAGGTTGCAGTTGGGCTACAACCCCATAGCGTAAGTGCTGGGCAGAGTCACAGGCAAACAGGAGCAGAGTCAAAGGTGAGGGCCAGGAGGCAGAATGGTCGGCCCAGTAGGAATAAAATGGCAGAGAGAAGACTTTGAGCCACAAGGCGGGAACCCAAATTGTGTGATCAGTGTCTAGCAGGAGAAGGCTTTCAAAGAGCAGCGGTCAGAACAGAGGACGGTTAACAGCGAGACAGTTAGCAGATGAGAGGGGCTCCTGGGAGCATCACATCCTGTATTCCCCAAATGATGTGTGGGATCCTGGGGACTAGCAGCAGCCCCCCAGACTACAATACCAAGAATCTTCCAGAGAGGTCAGGAGAGGTGGAAACCCCTGAGGTCTGTTCAGGTAATGGCCAATGTAGTAGTGTCCACCGTGTGGCAGGGAACCTCTGAAACCCATAATCAGGAAGGATTGAATCTCTTGAGTAGGTCCAAGAAGGGTTGGAGTCCTCTGTCACCTACCAGGCGCTGGGGAGGGCAGCAAACTGTGAGCTTACCCAATATGATGTCAACAAGTTCCCTGCTGGTTGAGGGGGTAGACTCAGAACTCAAGCTACTCTCCAGGCTGGGATCCCCCGATTGGGCTTACAGAGAAGACAAGTCATGGGTAGGTTAGCAGACAGGAGGGGATCGTTTCTGGCAATACTTCATGTAGGTCTAAAGCTTATTAGTTAGGGGAACTGCCAGCCGTTGCCTGGTGCTACACGCATATGACATAGTCAAGCTTCTCTTCCTCAGGCCTCTATGGGCCAGGCCTTCTCCTCCAGTCTCCTGAAGAGTCTGTTCTTGGATTTGACAGAACTCTTCCCAGTGAGAGCCCTGAACACAGCAACCCCCTCCCCCCCAAATTCTGCTTTCATTTCTTGCCAGGACAATGTCCTGAGCAAACATGGCCACTGGATTACTGAAAGCACAGGGCGACCAGCCAAAACATTAAAGCTGCCCTGGAGGGCGTCCTGCTTGCCCCAAGTTGTTGCCTCACTTGCAGGAGCCCGTCCCTAGGTGGCAGTATAGGTGACTTGTTTCAGCTGACTGGAACAACGCTGGCTCACCCACTAAAAGCCTCACTGTCCAAAAAGGTGCCTTAAAAAGGAGGTTTGTTCTGGGGCTGGAGAGATGGCTCAGTGGTTAAGAGCACTGGCTGTTCTTCGAGAGGTCGTTCAATTCCTGGCAACCCCAAGGTGGCTCACAACCATCTGTAATGAGATCTGGTGCCCTCTTCCGGCCTGCAGGCATACACGCAGGCAGAATACAGTATACATAATAAATAAATCTTAAAAAAAAAAAAGAGCTTTATTTCTTTATTTATGTGACCCCACCCAGCATGCCATTCTTCCCTGGGTGCACCTGTGGCTGCTGGAGACCAGTTAGAAGCAGGAAGCCAGATAGACCCACACCCTCCAGATGAGAAGTGTCTCTAGCTTCCTGATGGCCATGGGAGTTCAGAAAAAATCCTAGGCAACATCAAAGTCCTCCTGGAGGGTCCCTACTAGGCCAGCTACCTGAGGACTCTTAGACGCAGCTCCAAGATACCTCCTCTTTCTGGGAGCTCTTTAGGACCAGGAGCTTGACTTGGAATTGCCTGAAGAGCCCCACTAGCCCTACTGGAGCCAGAGCTCAGGCTGGCACTCAGTGGGTATGATACTTCCTCTCAGCCTTGGCTTCCTGTAGATGGCCCTGTGCAGAGCATCCGGGCCCGAGCAAACAGGTGGTCACATGGCCCTTGGTCCCTTGGTTCAGAAAGGGGAAATGTGCTGGCACCAGTGGCCAGAGCACCAGACAGACCAGAGCGTACCCTGGTACTATTACCTCCCTAACTCAGCCTCCACCAACGTCCCCACCCTCCCCAATCTGCCTCCCAGGTCACAAAGAGGACTGGAGGAGGTGGTGGGTAGACAGGGTACTTACTGCTGTTACTATTACCCCCACAAGAGTTGAGGGTGACCTTGACTCTGCAAGATCCCCCAGGATTCTCAGCCATGGCCTCTGCCAAAGGTGACTAAAGAAAGCACACAGGGAGAGCAGTAAAGACAAGGGCCAGGCAGAGCCATTAAATTGTAACCTACAGCAAAATTGGCAGAACAGTTCACAGTTCTCTGAAAGCCTAGGGTAGTGCCTCAGGGGGCCAGGTAAGGCAGAAGCAGAGGCGTAGGGGATAAACACAGGGTAGTAAATCAGAGAGCAAGAGTGTGAGCAGGCACAGAGTGCTCCTTTTCAGGCCCTCTCCCTAATTGTCACAGGCACAGGCGGGGTTGAGATCTGGTTCTGTGCCTCTCAGCTGCTATAGGAAGACCTTCAAATTCCTCCCGGTAGATTCAGGCTGTGAGCTCTTTTGCCCTGAGCCTCCTCTTTGGGGCTCCGGTTTGAACTCTCTCACAGAGGTCCTGTAGCCAGATGCCACCTTCTTGCACCTGCTTTCTGTGGAGGCAGTGAAAACCGTGGGAATGGAATATGAATGAGGACGGGTAACTGCTGTTTTCCGTCTTAGTTAAGAAACCTTGTGACACAGAAGTGCTGCTTGGATTCCTAGGCTGTGAGCATCTGTCTAGCCCAGAGCTCCCACCAAGTGTCCCAGACCTCAGAAAACTAGCAGGAAGAAGGGCGAAGGAGCCATTTGCCACCTTTTGGTATTTGATTAGAAGAATCCCTTTACTGGGTCGAGCATCTGTGTCCTCCCTCTTCTTGGGGGCTGAGGCTGCCCAGGGAGGAGCATGCCAGTCCCAGGAGACATGAAGGAGGCGCCCCTAGAGTCTGGTGCTCCCTGCACTCAGGTCCCGTGAAGTAGCATCCCCCTAAAAGTAAATGTCCTCCTTGCCCCGGCGACAACCACACCCTCATTCACCTGGACCATTGTGTATCCTCTGCTGCTGCAAATGGGGTCTTGCGGGTTTCCTCTGTCGTTGGCTGCATCAGGCTGGAGCGCTGGGATGGCATGGACACCGTTGTGTCCCAATACCGTGCCCTCCCACCTCAGGCCTAGGCCAACCCACAGGGCAGCACCGCCCAAGTCCACGTGTCAGTCCCAGTGCTTCCGTCTAGCTCTCCTAGGACGTGTCGCCCCCGGAATTGAGTCCCGCCCCAGCGATGTCTGGGGAGGCAGGGCCATCATGGACCTTCCAGCTCCGCAATCCAGGCTTACCACTGGGACTTCCCGCCAGGGAAGAGAATTCCCTGGGGGACTGTGGCCCCAGACCTGCCCAGCGGAGACTTTCAGAGCTCTCTGGATGAGGGCCTCTGGTCCTTTCTACAAGCTCTGGCAGGTAGTAATGGAAGAGCTTATAGGGCTGTGTTGCGGTCTAGTGAAAAATTAGGGATCAATCCATAACTAACTTCAAAGATAGTAAAAAATAGGGCAGTCAACTTTAAAAGTGTAACTTTGGAGGCAGAACTGCGCCTGTGAGAGGGCTAAGGGCTGTGAGGGTGGTCACTGGCCTTGAAATCCTGGGCAAAGGAGTTCTGTGCACTCATCACTAGCACTGACAGGCTAGGTGCTAGGGTGGGTTCCAGCCACACCTCACATGCAAGTTTCTGAGGTTTCTTGCTTCCACGGGCTCATCCCTTCTTTATTCCCAGCTATCCTAGATAAATCCCTCCCCCGCCACAGCTGCAAGGCAACTGGGACACACCCACTAAACGATTCCCGCTGCACTCAGAATCTCCACCCTCCACAGGAGGCCTTCCAGCCTTCAACAGCCCAGCCCACAACAAGGCTTCTCCGTGGTATACATTTGTATTAACAAATAGGGCTTGAGGCTAGGGTGTGCCCTGCATATGAGGCTCTGTGTCCAATAGCCGCTACTGGAGAAAACAATCCTCATCAGTTATCCAGTAGGATCCAAAGATGATGGCAGAGAGAGGCTTGCTTCCCTAGCCTAGCAGCTCAAGGATTGCTCGTTTGTTAGTGCAAAGTCTGTTCTGTTCTAGTTATCCATTTTATTATGTAACTCTCTTCAGAAACTGTATAGGAAAGATCCAGAATCACAAGGCAGGCAGCGTTTAGCATTTCTGGAGGGGTCACTGTTCTGGGGACAGGTGGACAAAAGTAAGGAAGGGATGTTTCCTTAAGTAGGTTGAGTGGAGGAGGGAGCTGCCAGACACGTGAGGTCTGCAGGAGTGTTGGGTATACATCTGGGGCCAGAGCCTCAGTGGTAGGGTGGATGGTTATGCTGCCAGTGTTGACAGGGCAGGTGAGGCCAAGGTACAGGGGAGACCTAACAGAAAATTCCGAGAACAGAGTCCCCAGCCCTTCAGCGTTGGGTAAACCCTGGCCTTGGTGTGAATAGCTAGTTGAGTAGCCAAGGTAATGTGTGTGCCCTCCTTTCTCCCCTCCCCCCAGCATCACCTAGGCCCTGGGGCAAGAGAGGTCTGAGTTCTTGCCGCTGTGGATAGGGATTGGGGGCATTCCTCCCCAGGCTCCCACAGCCACTGAAGCAGAAGGGTATGGGTACAGCCAGAACTGCCTCAAAGAAGATGAGTTGGCTGGAAGGTGAGCAACACCAGTGGTCGGCAGTAGCTGGGGTGGACATGCTTTAGTTGATACTGTGAGCTGCCCCGCACCCAACTCACAAGATCGTCTTTGTGTTCAAGTTGGAAAGCTCCACGTGGAGATTAGTAGGTAATACTTGTCATAGTCTGCCAAGCACAGGCTTCTCTGGAGCAATGGCTGTGCCTTTGAGAGCATCTGCCAGCCTCAAGTCGCCTGTTTTGTTACACAGATCTGGCAGGGGGAGCCATGCCAGGCTTCCTTGAGCTGAGTGACTCTCAAACCTTGTGCCATCCTGGCTGGCTTTCTTACACCTTTGGCTATTTCTAAGGAAGCCAGGCAGTGTGAGCCCACATGACTGGGATCGTGAATAAAAGCAACTCCTAGACCCTACTGTGGGCCTAAGTCTCTCCCAAGATTCCAATTAGCCCCTGCCTCCTCTGTAACCCAATATACACAGTTCTACATATGAGAAGTCCAAATAAAATCAGACTGAATAATTGGGTTTTACTACACTGTTACTGACTGGCAACTGTAAGAAATAAGACTTCAGGAGCCAGATGTCGTTTGCATGCCTGCAGCACAGCTACAACCAGACGGGCTACAAAGGAAGATCTGGAAACGTGGTTTTGGTACTTTGCATCCACCTTGTAAGCCAAATGTGCACACGGTACAGTTTAAGCAGCAAGGTCTGAGTCTAAAGGAAGCCAGACGGCCAAAGAAGCCTGTGTGCGGCCAGCTCAGTTCACAAGACCATCTCCGGGGCTCTGGGGCAGCGTTGTTTTGGGTGCTGGTGCCCAAAGTGCTGAGAAATACCACCACCTCCTCCACTACTCCCCCACTCTCCACACCAGCGTTCCCGGTGACAGGGTTTATCAGATATCTGATACACGTGTACATGTGCCCATGCATGTGGGTAAACCCTGTAGATGTGTTTAAGGAGGAAAGGGGAAGTCAGAGCTGTTTAGAGACTATGTGTGTCAGGCACTGCAGACTCCCGAAGTGGACAGTCATATGCAGGATAAGCCACTACACTGTCGTAACCATCTTCCAAAAGCCCCCAACCTACAGTCTCTGCCAAACTTTCAGAGGAGCCGGGCAGACATACTTCGTCAGGACCTGCATCTAAGAAGGAACTCCCTTGCCACATGCAAGCGGCTGGATAGATGGCTCAGTGATTAAGATCCCTGGTTCTGACAGAGGACCTGGGTTTGATTTCTAACCCACACTGCAGTTCACAACTGCCCATAATTCCAGTTCCAAGTGGCCTGATGCCCTCTTCTGACTTCTGTGGGCACTAGGCACACATATGGTACGCAGATATACATCCAGGCAGGACACTCATACACATAATTTTTTTTTTTAAATCTAAAGAAAAAAAAGTCATTTACAAGCACCATTAGTCACATCTCTTGGTTACAGTTGGGCAAAAGCAGTTCTGCAATTTTCTTCTATATTAGGGTCACACTGGGCTCTTAACCTGGTCTTCAATTAGGGGCACGAATGGGATGCAGGTACAGCAGACTTCCACGGCACTTTAAACATTCCTACCCGCCCCACCAGTCCACTAGATTCACATGGAACCCCACCAATGGATGGGTAGTTGCCCAGGACAGTACCACTAGAGCTATTCTGCTTCCAGAGCAGTCAGGACATCTTACCCATAGTGCACAGAACTGTGTCAGAGTCTGTGATAGGTAGTGACAACAGGGGCCATTCAAATTATGTGTTCTTTTATGTAAAAATAAAGAAGTCTCAAGTCAGGATGGCATTCCAAAATTGGAGGAAAGCATTTGTGATAGGCAGGTGGTCCCCTAAACCCTTTAGATTCAACAGGCAGGGGTTCATGTTCAAGCATACCAGAGATCTCTGCTACCGAAAAGTTTATCCTCACCCTCTGAGAGCGTGAGGGAGCTGTGAGAGAGATGGCCAGGAGGGCCCAGGGAGGACACCCTACCACCCAGTGCAGGGCGCCTCTGCGGGTGCTGTTTGGCGCACCCTTGGAGACTTCCTCCCCCTGCATTTCCCTCAGGCCCGACTGAGAAAATGTCAGTGGGGAGGCCCACACTGGCCAGCAGCGCGCTGCACGCTGCAGCTGAGTGGACTGGCACTGTGCTGTGACACACAGTACTGCTTTTTTCATGTCTGCAGTGGGAACAGAGCAAAACCCAAGTGCAGTTACACCTTCCTACTATTCCCGTTCTAATACGATGACTTGCAGGGGGTACCTCTCCAGGGGAGGGGGAGGAGGGAGCTTTCAGACAACCATTCTGGAGGGGGGAGGAACCAAAAAACCATGAAACCTTTTACTAACAAATTCATAGCAGGCAATCAGAATTCAGGCCCAACCTGAGTGTGTCAGATGATGTGTGGCTGGGGCACAAGTGCCCCTGAATGGAGAATTACAATTATGTATGCATATCAGTGCCCTAGCAAGTTAAAGGATTTATACAGACTCTACACATCTATTGCTGCCAAACCAGCTTACTAAGCATTAGAAAAAAAAAAAAAAAAAAAAAACCAAAAACACCTTTGTGAAACAAACAAACAAGCACACACATGGTGCCAGACAAGGCATGTCAACAAAGCAACATCACGTGAACGCTGGTGGACAGACTGTACCCATGCATGGCATCCAGGGCACACATCCAGTGTTTAAATGCAGGGATGTAGGCAGACCGCTCTCTTCACTTTACACTTGGAGTCTGAGACCGGACGCCGACAACCTGTAAGGGAGCCCGCTTCTTTCTCTTGATGACATCAGTGTCTTTATCACGGAACACACATAAGAGTCCTTCTGGAACACCGGTCCCTCCTCTCTGCAAACTGACAGCACAGAAGAAGAAAAGGAAGACATCACTGCCCACCTCAGGGCCACGGCCCAACCTCAAAGCCACCGCTCTTCGTCTACATCCACTACAGAGGTCTCAAGCACCAACTCCACACGATCCGAGTGACAAAACAAATCGCATTTAGAGTGCAATAATCACCATGCTTTAGAAAATTCCAAATGGAGGCTGCTCCGTGCACAGCTCCATGATGTTGGAACAGAGTGCCAGAATTTCCCCAAGTCTCACTTATTTCAAGGCACTCTCTACCAAAAGGTGCAAAAAGAAATAAAGCTGCTTTGTAAAAAACCAGAGACACTTTTTTGAGTGAGACTCAAAGGAGACAAGTAGAAAAACTAATCTATCCTGCATGCTGAAGTAGCTTAACTTCGTCTGTGTCTGCTGCAACACGTGCCTGCATGTACTCCCCCGTGTAAGGGGACTGCTGGGCACCAGCAGATCGAGGATAAATAAGCACTTCTATTCCAAGTCCTCCAGCCTCACTGACATCTGTGGCATTGGCTGATAAAGATACTAGCTGAAGTGGTAAGATGTCAGCACCTTGTCTTATAGTCATTTAGCATTTCATGAATGCAACAAGCCCCTTTTGTGTATTTGTGAATAATCCCTACAGAGGGGACTTCCCATTACTATACATTTCATGCCCTCTAATTTTAAGAACTTGTCAAACTGATTAGCTATATGAGCGATTTTATACACATTAACAAGAGATACAAATGTGCTGGCTCTCTAGGGCCTTTTTTTTTTGTTTGTTTAAGAAAAGACCTCATATATAATACAGCCTGGGCTGGGCTTGAAAAATTCTTCCTCAGCTTCATGAATGCTGTAATTACAGGCAGGGACAACCACACCTAGCTTTATATGGTGCTTTAAAAGCAAACACTGTATCTTTATTGATATCCCTCCTCAACTTGTGCTTCATTTTACAAGCTACCTGAAAATTAAAACTTCCTTTCTCTCTGCCTTTAAAAAATATTGTGTGTGTGAATGCGCACACACACACACACACACACACACCTGCATGTCTGTGTGTGTGTGGAGGCCAAAGAGGACATCAGATCCCCCTGAGCTGAAGTTACAGGCAAATGGGGGACACCTGACTTCTTATGTGGACACTGGACTCTAAGCATCGTGACTACTCAGCATGTCCTCTTAACCAATGACCCATCTCTCCAGTAACTCTCCCGCCCCCTCCCCCCCAAGGACAGGGTTTCTCTGTGGCTTTGGAGGCTGTCCTGGAACTAGCTCTTTTAGAGCAGGCTGGCCTCGAACTCACAGAGATTTGCCTGCCTCTGCCTCCTGAGTGCTGAGAGTAAAGGTGTGCGTCACATCACCCGGCCTTCTATCTTACTCTTATCCTCACGCCTAATGAAAAGCTACATCTGAAGATGATGTTGAAAGCCACCTTTCTAGGAGGTAAGGTCTGCTTACTCCTTACTCACAGATAAGAGCAGGTGTGTGTGTGTGTGTGTGTGTGTGTGTGTGTGTATGAGTGTGACAGCAACTTCAACCTCGAGTTTGTTACTAATCCGATCCTAAAAAGAACATTGCCAGGCACCTGCCTTCTGCAGTAAAAGCAGAGAGTTGGAAGACACTTCATTCCATCCCAATAAGAGAAGTATCCTGTGGGAGAAAAATAGACACCGACGAACACTGAAGTAGGGGCATGGTAGAGGCAGCACTGTACTGCTCAAGAACAAGGCACACAATCCACCTCGGTAGTTACTAAGGACACTGCCTGTCAGTGCCAAGCACCAGAACTCCCTGCCCTAGTGTCAGACAGGCAACAGCTTCCATTAAAGGACAATACCTACATCATCTCCACCACCCGTATCCATGGACAGCGGCCAAAGGCTCTGCAGATGTGTGCACCCTCGTCCCCACAGCCTTCGGCATTTCAGGCCTGGGACACTGACAAGAATCAACCAAACACATCTACACCTGGCATGACACTCAAGAGCACTGGCCTACACGTGCACAATACACTTCACAGGTCATGTTCCTCCTACCGAGCAGCTAACAAACAGCCTGTGGGAAGCAGAGCACTACAGCATTGCCAACATAGAAGCAAGAGATGAGACCACCAGCCATCCCCACAACACAGGGTTGCCTTGCTGTCACGGAGGGCACTCCCTAGGCTCATGGGCCTTTCATTTAGTCCTTCAGCTGTGCGTAAAGGTGCTTTCCCTGTGCCAGCAGGGAAGAGTCACCCAAACAAGAGCTGTGTGGATGAGAACTTTGTAGAAGCCATTGTGGTCATTCTGGAGTAAAGAGAAATTTTTATTTTCAACAAAGTTGCCTACAAGAGATGGTTCATTGATCCACTATGAACGAGTCTCTCATCACATACAGCACCAAAAAATATATTTAAAAAATTAAGAAAACACAGCCTCATCCCTCACACATACACACACACACACACGTGCCCTCCCACAAGGCACACAGCCCAAACCAAAAAGTACAGAACTAAATCAAACTCAATACCCGCACACAAGTTATCTTTGAATTAAGATTTACAAATTTATATATTCTTTCCTATGAAGGAACAAAAAGAGGAGGAAAAAGGAAGAAAAGAAGAGGGTTAAGGAAAAAAATGTGAAGGCCCGATAAGACCTAGGAAAATAAACACTGCCGGCCTGCACCATAGCAGAAAGCAAAAGAACATCAGTGCTTTCCTAAGCTGTGAGCGTGAGGCCTTCAGCTGAAATGACACTCCCTAGCAATGCAGCACACATGTGGCGAGCCACATCTTCTAGAGCCAGCAATACCGGAAGCATCGGGATAGTCAACTGCAGCGTGCAGCCCTCAGGACGCAGGGCATGGCAGAGGCAGCGTCTTCCATCATGGGTTTGCCAGGGTTTAAAAAGGCCATTTCCCCTTTTTAAACAATAAGGGCCAAAGAAAATTACAGGGGGAAAGTTCTCTACTGCAGTGACAAATCAGCTAGTCACAGCCAGAAGGGAATGAGTCCTGTGCTGGTTGACAGTGCTGGGTCCGTGCACAGGCTCTACTTAGGCTCCTCAATCACACCTTTGCTGAGGTCTGTCATTTTGGGATATTTTACTTTCTTCTGGTCTAGCTCATTCTGAGCCCAAAGTAGCAGTTTCAGTAATTTTGCCAGCTTGGGTGTAGACTCCCGATTTTCATAATCCAGAACAGCCTGGTTAACTTCACTCCACACCTAAAAGAGAAACACATCCAATACAGACGGCCATGCACGTGTACTAGCAGCAAGTCTGATAATATACGTAAGACATCTTTTTCAGAGCCAGGGATAAAACACAGGTCCTCAAGCATGTTAGGCAAGCTCTCTGTTGTTAAGCTATATTCCAGTCCATCTGGATCCTGTACACAACCGAGAAGCTTGTTACTCATTTCAAAACACATTAAACATTGGCTAAAAGCCACTGCAGGGGCCCTAAATGGTCCTCTTCTAAAGGGGCTCCTACATTTTGGTTAGCGATGTGTCCTGGCTCTTTTAAATGAAGTGTTGTAAGGACTTAGAGAAGAGCAGCAGAACAGCCATGTGAGGCCCTGTAGGTACGTCTTAAAGAGATACCTCAAGAGGGCCTTCAAGGGTGGGCAGTCCTTCTAATGTGGCACGGAGGATAGAGCCCTAGGAGAGAGGGACCCAGCACCTGGGTAGTCTTGGGAGGCAAGGAGCTGTCATGTTTGCAGCACACAGAAGGGACAAAGGATAACTTAAGTTGAAGATACTCAGGGTACCTGTTTCTAAACTGACAGGAAGAAGGGCTTTGAACACTAATAGTCCTAATGCTGCTGCTCCTAGTTTTACAAGCTAAATGGGTATAGATGGGAGGGGCTGCCAGTGTTCTACTGGAGGTCCCTAGCCCAGGGCTACCCGCTGCACCCATCAAAGTGCAGCATATGTACCGTCTTCCCACAAGTCCCTTGAGTGTCCATGAACTGAGCTTTTCCCTTACCAGCCTTTACCTTTTGCCTCTGCATCATGTGGAGAAGGTCTCCAAAAGGTGACTCCTCAGGGCTATCGAAGGCCAGCAAGGCCAGTGTTCGCTCCATTTCTGTGAGGCACTCTCTGCTTTCCTCGCCCTGCTCTGCCAGTTGTGTCTGCGCAAACTCCAACGCTGCTTCTGTCTCACGTTGACGAATAAGCTCAATCAAGTGTTGTTGCTGGTCAATAGAAAAGACAGACAAGTTGAGCTAGCACACACCCTTGTGGGTGACACCCGGTACGGTCAACAGCAAAGACAGCCAAGCTTGGCTGGCACACAGCTAGATAAACACTTGGTCTCAGTCAAAAGTTTATCTTATGGAGTTGAGGGTGTAACTCAGTGTTAAAACACTTGTTTACCACACAGTGAAGGCCTGGGTTCTATCTATACCAACGCAGGAAGGAAGGAAGGAAGGAAGGAAGGAAGGAAGGAAGGAGACATTTCAAAGGAAAGACTTTTCTACCATCTCCAAGTCAGTGCATTTCTATTTTAAAAGCAAAAGGTGAAGCTGTTGCAGTAAATGTGTTTGTCCTGCCAAGTATGCTGGTATTAATTTGATCCCTAAAAACACGTGTAAGGATAGAGAAAGCAAATTCCCAGAATTGACCTCTTACTTCCAAACAGTGTATGTTTATGCTCGTGTTCTCTCTCTCTCTCTCTCTGTCTCTCTCTCTCACACACACAAACATATACCATACACACACACACACACACACACACCTTCACAAAGTAATTACTTTCTATAGTAAATAAAGCAGTAGTTACCACAAAGCCTGTCCCATTCCCAACACTAAGCAATGTTTTACTAATATACAACCGCTAACGTCTTTCTGAGCCATTGCAAACAAGTGTAACTTGCCAAACACCCACATCAAACTCTAAAACTCACCTGAAGGTGGAAATAAAGATATCGGTTTGTGTCCAAGAGCTCTGGGTGGAGGCTGTTGATCAGGGCAATGGCTTCCTGGATCTGACCCTTCAGAATCATCTCCCGAATCTTGATTCGCTCATCAAGTGTTTCTAGGTCCACGCTTGGTTCAATCCCAGATTCCATTCGAAACTTCTCTGCTGCTTCCTTAAAACCCTCTGAAAAGAAAACTACCTTCATTGCTAGGAAAGATAACCAGGGATTAAGGCTTTGTACCTCCAGAGAACCCAACTACCATTAAATGATCCTATGTAGAAATCACTTTCCTAGGGACTTTTTTAAAAACTGTTTTTGTTATCAATAGTCAATGCTGTCACTCCTTTGCAGCTCTCTGAAATGCCTGGTCTCAACCGGAGGTCACAGGACTACTAGCCAGGGCAGGGATCCCAGGAGGATGCCAGAACAACAGAGTCAATGCCAGGTGAAGCAGACACCTTGCTGGATCTTCACAGAGTCACTGTGCTTTATCCACAGGAGCCTGCTGAGGCCAACGTTTCCGCAGCCACTCTCTAAGAAATTTTAGCAGGAATTAATTGGAGAGACACAGGAGGACAAGGGTCACTGGAAGCCTTCCACTCCTTGCTTTTGAAAACCAGACAGGAGAACAGCTGACTCTCTCATCTCAGCTGGCAGTGGCCTCCCTGCAGCAGGAGCATCAAAGTGCTGTTTTTCTGCATTTTCCTTCCCTTCCCTGTTTTGAGTTGGGCACACCTAGAAATAGGCTGGAACATTTTCCCAAACCGCCCAGAGGATATCAGTTATTTGGACTTTAAATCTACTCCAAAACATTTTTTTTTTTTTTGTAATTTTGAGACAAGGTCTTGCTGTGCAGACCAGACTGTCCCAGAATTCAGAATTCTCCTGTCTCAGCCTTCTGAGTCAGAACACTCTTCATGATCATGAAGGCTTAATTATAAATCTGTCTAAAGCCAAAAAAGGATGTTGCTTTAATGTCTCAGAGATCTGAAGCAATCATTTTACCAAAAGGAAAATATTTTTTAGGGAGTAGGGAAGTTGAAAATATGTCTCAAGTTACATCCCAGGCGGGCCTTGAACACTCTGTCTCAGCCTTCCAAGTGCTGAGATTATGGGTGCAACCCATACCTTGGGATAGAAAAGGCCATCTCTAACATGTCAATTTGATTTATAAATATCCAGTTAACAGCATAACCTAGCTTCATTATTATGCTGCAGAGGAAAAGGGCTATTTATTTAAAAAGGGAGAGCTATGGTCAAGTGGTGGCACCTTCACAGCCAACGTTTACCTGTGACGAGGTAGTTCATGATGAGACGGTTCATGTCTGCTCGCTGAACATGTAAGTTATTGAGCTTTTCCATCCATTCATCTTTGGTTATTTCATCAGGTTTTTCTGCGTAACTCATTATGATTTATTTCTACAGGTAAAAGAGACAACAATTGAGGACAAATTATATAACCACTGTAATCATTTCAGAAAATAAACATAGCAACATAGTAAGAAGAGGAAGAGTAGGAAGATATTTTTAATCTTGAAAATTACAAGTAAAAAAGGTCTGAGAAGAATACATGTCTGGGTAAAATCAAGACGGACAAGGGTGGGAAGTATGGTTAATGAAACAAAGAGTCAAAAGTCTAGAAAAGTCATCAAAAGGGGGTGGTTAGTTTTGAAGCTACATATAAACAGCAGTTGTTGGAGAGGTATATACTAAAAATTAATATGCTATGATGTAAAAAAGGAGGCACCAACCACACAGGCAAAATGAAGGTACATCTTAGTGAAGGAGTCTCCTTCAACTCTATTGTTGGAGCACGCAGGTGGTAAAAACAACACCCCTGATAAGGTGGCACACAATGCCATCTGCACTGCAGCAGCTGTACCCCTGTATTTGCATCCTAGAAAGGTTCTAACATGCACCAAAGATGTGCTGTTCACGCCTCACGATGGCAAAAATGTGCACACCACTTCCCAAAATGTTCATCCCACTGCCCAAATAAAGGAACTTTGATAAGTGCACGACACGGCCAAACCCTTGGGTACGTGTGTTCTGAATTTGGAATTCTGCAGCTTGCACACAGATAATATGGCACAAGTTCTGGTCTGCTTTATGTATGCCAGCCTCTCCAGAGAATAGGGAGCATGGTACAAGTACACATCATTTATTTGATAAATCGTGAATATTCACACTCAGTGTAAAGGAAGCTAAAAGATGTTACCAAGTTTTGTCAACAAATAGGTTTTAAAAAAATGTTTTGGCTGGGTGTGGTGGTACACAATTTTAGTCCCAACATTTGTGAGGCAGAGACAGGTGGATCTCTCTAAATTCATAGCCAACCTGAGCCTTGATCCTCATTAGACTGTAGAAGGAAATATGGGTGTACATCACTTTAAAACAACACTGAACGTGAGAAACAAACGAGTCCAACTGTGACCTGAGTTTTGCAAAATCAAACATGAAATGAACTACATGGCATGTCTTTGAGTAGCCCTGGCAATCCTGGAACAAGCTCTGTAGACCAGGCTGTTCTAGAATGCACACACAGATCCACCAGCCTCTGCCCCCCAAGTGCTAGGATTAAAGGCGTGCACTACCACTGCTCAGCAAATATTGAGTACTTTTAAGCAGACATGGACTCTGACAGGAACTGTTTCAGGAAGGCAGCTGGGGTAGCTTTGGGAGCACCAGCTGGACCCTTGTCATACATTGCCACCAACATATACCTCATCTCTATTACTTTGTACACTGCACAGGACAAGCTAATGTGCTTCAATAAATCATAAAGTTGAAAGACAGTTCTGGTTTCTGGGCTGACAATGGAATGCATGCTGGGTGGGGAGAATTAAGCAGTACAACAAAGACACATCCTAAGTGCTACCATAGAGGACAGCAGAAGAGAAGAGACAAGGAAGAAGCATGGGCAACCAGAGACTGGAGGGTTTAAATGCCAGGCCTCAGAAATGGGACCACAAGGACATGGGAGAGATCCAAGCAGAACAGGTTGGAGGAGCAGGGCAAGTCTGGGTGCGGGGGACTCTGGCAGCTGGAGAGGTGTGGTAGGTCTGGATTACAGGCCCCGGGCCCCACGCTGCAAACAGTAATTAGGGAAACACACGTATACACACACTGGGAGGAAAGTTATCTAAGCAAGGTGTGTGTGTGGTGTGTATGTGCGCGCGCGCGCGCGCGCGCGTCTTAAAGCAAAACCCATAAGATGCTAAAGTTTCAAAGCCCACTTTCGGAGACTGTGGGCGGGGAATTGAGGGCTTAGAATTTGACGCATATATCAGGACTTCCAGTTCTGGCGGACTTGGGAGGCCCCAGCAAGCAGCCTGAAAGGTAGCAGAGGAGGCGGGAAGTGAACCCGAATGGGGTTGCCGTAGGACGGTGCCTCTCCATAGCCACAGGATAACAGCAGCATTTAGCCCGGTTCAACTTTTATCCCGGATACACAGGCAAGCTAGGAACCGGTCTGGGGAAATGCACCCCCCCCCCTTCCTCTCCGTTTCCACTCAGTCCGAAGCAGTTGTCAACGAGCAAGGCTGCGGACGGGGACCCGGCGACAGTGTTTGATCCCAGATCCAGCCACGACACCGTGGACGGGGAAGCACCCTAAGCCCCGAGGATGACCTTCCAACGGAGCAACTGCATCTTCACCCTTCGGTGTCCGCTTTACTGCGGCTCAGTCATCACAGACACTCCGGTCCCCGCAGCAACCCCAACCGAGCGCAGCCTCCAGACCTCCCGCCCCGAGGCAGGGCCGTGCAGGGCAGGGCCGGCTTCCCTGGCACCGGCCCCGGCTGCAGGCTCCGGATCCCCGGGGCAGGTCAGCCTGGGCGGCTCGGGCGCCCCGACCTCTGACCTCCGCGCCTCGGCCCACCCCGGAGCCCCGTGGAGACGCTCGGCACGGCCGCCGGGGCCCGCTGCGGCCATCTTACCGTGCGGATCCCGCCTCCCGCGCGACAGGGTCTGGGCGGCGGCTCCGCGGCCGCTCGCGGGGCCGGGGAGGGGCGGCAGTGACAGCGGGAGATAGAGGAGACGGAGGCGGAGGCCGCGGCGGAGGCGGGGGCGGGGCGCGAAGCGGAGGTAGACACACCGGCGTCCGCCTCTCAGACGCCTCTCGCGAGATCGCGAGATCTCGAGGTGCGAACCGGCAACCAATGGAGTTCTCTCGCGAAGGGGCCCGCCGGGCGGTCACCGGACGCTGGGACCTCGACTTCCGGTCTTGCGCATGCGCATACCTCCTCGGCAGTGCCCTGGCTCTACGGGTTGGCGCGAGAGTCAAAAGGCTTGTGTCCCTTCTGCGCAAGATGGCTGCTGCGGGGGCGTCTGCGTACTGAGTGCTAGCGCGGGGATGGAGACCTGTAGACTGAGTTCGAGGCAAAGGTCCCAGCTTTTGTTTTTTTTCTTTATTTTTTTTGTATGTGTGTGTGTGAAGCTGGGAGGCGGGGGTAGGTGTGTGAACGCGGGAATGCGCGAGGAAGGGAGGGCATTCTCCGGCCTGTAGCCCGTCGGGCTCTAGTCGCCAAGGCGAGGCCTCCGGACGGAAGCGAGCGCCTAGGAGTTTGCTCCGCGGGCGTTATAATCGAGGCCAGATCAGCGTCAGCACAGCGCTGCCTAGAGCTGGAGAGCGAGCGGACTGCCGAGGCTCCTGTTCCCCGGGCAGGGACGCCTCGTTTCTGGGCGTTCTCGAAGGTGACTCCTTACTGTTGGGGCTCTCCGGGATGGGAGCGTGCACGGAAGTGACACTCCCTGCTTCTAACGCACTCATGGAGCGGAGCGGATCCACGGTGGGGACTCCCTGTCCCCGCTTACAGAGCGACTTCCTACTTTGGGGGCGGGCGCTCTCTTAGCTGTGTGCGGTGGGGACCCTGCTCGAGACGCCGGCGGATGGGATCACTGCCGCCGGAGAAGGGACCCCCCGCCCCCCGTGCCCTGGGAGTTATGGTTGATCCTTGCCTTGGGATGGTCCTAAGAGCTTGCAGTAAGGGCTGGTGTGGGGGGGGGGGGTAGCCGGAAGCTCTAGGAAACTGCCTGGCTGTGGTTGGCAAATAGGTATTTTCATGTTTATGTGTTTCTTGTCTGCCCAAGGGGGATGCAAATGTGGTTATTGTAATGTAAATGTACTCTGGGAGGGATGTTGGAAGTCCTGCGTGGTGGTAGTTGAATGTACTTGCTTAAAAAATGAATGGAGTTGTTCAGGTGTTGCCTTTAATCCTAGCACTTGGGAGGCAGAAGGGCAGGCTGGTCTACCGAGCGAGTTCCAGGACACCTGCCGGGACTGGTTCACACGGAGAAACCGTGTCTCCGAAACAAAAACAAAAAAACACAGGGCACAACAAGCTGTGACTTAAGAACTGAGTCTAGGGAAAGCAACTTCTTACTGAATCACCAAAAGTAAGTCCAGCTTAGCAGGCGTGTCAGACAGTGACCTCCCTGGCCGTGAACGTTTTTCATGTATTGCATGCGCTAAACCTGCTGCTCCACAGTTCTGACCAAAGCTGTTGAGGAAGTACGTGTCCTACAGTAAACACTTTGTTCTGTGTGACCCTGGGTAAAGTGTGCAAGGAAGGAGACCAGTATTCTAGAGAGAGAGAGAGAATGGTTTACTCAGAAGTTCGGTTCCTCCGTGGGTGATGGGTTGCAGCTGTTCCAGCTGCCGGCCAGCTCCAAGAGCTCCTCTCCCTTCTCTGTCGTCCGTCCTACAAACTGGCTCCTGCTGAGGGCTCCTTGGTCACTCTCAGCCGCTTGCACAGAGTCCTTTGCCACAGTGTCTTTCCTAATGTGACAGGCATGTTCACTCACCATATTATTCCTCCTGTACCTGATCTCCTTCGTGTAAGGCATTCATTCTTCCGTTAATTACCTATTGTAAACGCAGCTGAAAATCTACTGGGGTTCTCTTTGGGCTGTAATATGTGAAATGCTTCCCTCAGCTGCTGGGACTTCCCTGGGAAGTCCTCCCTAAACATCAGTAGGCTCTGTTTTGCTCAGGTGACAGTTTTTTTTTTTTTTTTTTTTTTACATTTTTGGATGTTCCAGGATAGAGTTTCTCTATGTATCCCTGACTGTTCTGGAACTCAAGGACTTGTTCTGTAGACCAGGCTGGTTGGGGACTGCCAGAGATCCGAATTCCTTTGCCTCTTGAGTATTGGATTAAAGGCATGTGCCACCATCCCTGGTAAATCTTTGACTGGATGAGGTGGCACAAGCCTTTAGTCTCATCTGCATAGAGTTCAGCCAGGGCTATGTAGAGAGAGGTCCTGTGTCAAACAAAAAAGTTCTGAGCTGAATGATGGTGTCCCACGCCTTTAATCCCAGTGTTTGGGAGGCAGAGGCAGGCAAATCTTGAGTTTGAGGCCAGCCAGGTCTACATAGCAAGTTCCAGGATGGCCAGGGCAACTCAGCTCTCCTCTCCCAAGTGAAAATTTCCCCCCATGATTTATTTTAATTTTGTGTGTGGAGGCCAGAAGAGACAGCCAGACTCTGGGAGCCGATACTGTAAGAGCCAAACTCCACTTCTGAAAGTAGGAGTGATCTGAGCCCCTTAGTGCAGCCTGGAATGTTTTTTGAAAGTCATGGTCTTGTGTTGTCTATTCTGGCTTTAAATGTATGTGTAGTCAAGAATGACAGTGAATGTATGATATCCTGCCTGTACCTCAAGTAGATTTGTAGAAGGCTTTCTTGAACCACCAGCCCCAAAATCATGAAATGGAAACTTATTAATTAGGAACACTCCGCCTTAGCTTAGGCTTGTTAATAGCTGGATTTTTTTTTTTTTTTTTTGAAACTGAAATTAACCCATTTCTATTAATCTATGTGCTGCCCTGAGCTTGTTTACTGTCCATCCTGCTTTCCTCCTTCCTGTGACTGGCTGGCCTCCCTTTTCTCTCTGCCTGACAGCCCCGCTTATCCTGCCTGACAGCCTAGGCTATTCAGTTTTTTAGTAGATCAATCAGGCACCTTAGGCAAGTAAAGTAAAAACAGCAACACATCTTTACATAGTTAAACAGTTATCCTGCAAAGGAACACATCTCTACATAGTTAAGCAAATGTTCCATGCCACAACTTAGATTTATGTCACTGCACCCAGTTTATGTGGCACCGAGTATTAAAGTCAGATCCTAATGCATACTAGGCAAGCAGTCTATCAGCAATTGACAAAACTCAAGTCAGTAAGTCGAACAGCAGTTTTTAAAATTAATATCCTAACACATCATCCAAATTTACTAGTTTGACACTCAGACTCAAATGCTGAGGAATGACTCTAGAGAAGACTTTTTAAAATTAAAAACTTATGTTTGTTTCTTTTATTTTTTGTGGGTGGGGGAAGACAGGGTTGAAATCTGCTTGCCCCTACCTCCTAAGTACTGGGATTAAAGGTGTGCATCACTACATCTGGCTTCTATTGTGTTTCTATGAGAGCATAAATAAACTGTAAGGTAAAAACATTGCAGTTCATAAAAGGAAGTAGTCTTAAATTCAAGCAGTCTGCATCTGTAGGTGTTGATAGCTCAGTACTTGCTGCTCTTGCTGGATAGTTTAAATCCCAGCCCCACATCTGGTGGCTTAAAACCACTTGCAAGCCCCACTCCAGGGAATCTGATGTCTTCTTCCGAACCCATGTTCATAGACACGCACACACATACACACATATCGTTTAAAAATAATAATAATAATAATAAATCTTTAATAAGAACCAAGACAGCAGTTGATCAATGTAACATAGGTGGACCTTGCTAGAAACACCTCAGATTCATTGTTTGATTTTGATTTATTTGTTGCTTGCTTAGAAACTTGTAACTGTTGCCAAATTTCTTATGATCTACCTCCGGGTTTCAGTTTTGCAACTCCATATAGGAATGCAACTCAGTTTGAGGAACTGGGTTCTGGAGCTAGAAAGCGACTCAGGATTGGGCTCCCTCTCCTGATCTCCATGAGCGCTGTTCATTCATGTGCTGCACATACATGCAGATGCAAGTGAAACACTCATTAGGCACGGTTGCACGTGCTTTTAATCTCAGCACTTGGAGGCAGAGGAGTTTGAGGCCAGCCTGACCTACATAGTGAGTTCTAGGTCAGCCAAGGTTATGTACAGAGACCTTGTCTCAAAGAAAAAAAAGTTCTACACTACTATTTTTTTTCCCTTGGCTCTCAACCCGGTGTTGCCAATGCCTTGTATCATGATTCCCTTAAAACGTAAGATTTACTTACGTTTTTACGAGGAGATGGCTCAGTCAGTGACGTGCTCCTTATACATGGGGACCTGAGGTCGATCCCTGTGTAGAAAGACTGTCACTTTCTATACAGCTTCTATCTGTAATCCCAGTGCTAGGGGGCAGACGTGAGAATCCCTGAGACTTCAGGCAAGCTCACCTATCTGAACTGGTGAGCTCCAGATTCAATGAGGGGTTACTCTGGAAAGTAAGGTTGAGTTTGAGGAAGATGTCCACCAACACTGACCTAGCCTTACGCCTGCCTGAGTGCACATGTTCCTTCTCAAACACACACACAGGTTCTTGTGTAGTGAGCATCTCAGTTAATAAAAGTATCCAGCTCACTTTAGGTACTGTATGTGAGTAGATGGGGAAATAAATGGGTGACTGGTACTGAGACCCTTCCCCAGGATGAATACTAGCAAAGAGACAAAGGGGAGAGGGTTTGAAGACAACAGCTCACCCCCCCCCCACTTTGGGGGTAGATACACCCAGGAGTGCATTAAGACCAGAGGAGATGGCCTGTTTTCTCTATCACCCCTCCTTATTTCTTCAAGGCAAGGTCCTTCACTAACCCTGAAGCTAGGCTGGTAGCCAGCAAGCCCCAACAGTCCTGTCCGCTCCCTCAGCTCCATACAGGCTGAGGTTACAGGCACATGCTTACGTCTGGCTTTTTATGTGAGCCAATTTTCGTGTGTTAGACTTTGAAATGCTGCTGAGTTTGAGGTAGAGAGAAGGTTCTGGGGACCAGGTGAACGGGTAGAGACGGACTGAGTCAAGGTGGGGGAAGGGAAGTGGAGCGGAGCCATGAAGACTGATGTGCAATGGTACTAAGGATGTAGGAGAGTAGGGAATAGGTGAGCATGTCCAGAGACAGCCACACTGGCC